AAAATTATACTTATTTAATTAGTTTTGTTGTTGAACCGAAAAAGTAAAATTTAAAAAAAAAAACCTAATATAGACCCGGGTATATTACAAATAGGTTTATATAAAAGACCCGGGTCTTGTACGTTCTACCAAAATTCTAACCTTAGTATAGACCCGGGTATAATATAGGGGGGTCTACTGTAAAGGGGGGGTCTTTTATCAGGTGATTTACGGTAATAACCTCTTAATAATGAAACGAAAAAACGTTAATTATAAATCTAAAATCTAAGGAATTGTTAAACTGAATCTACATTAACGTGTATAGATTTAAAGTTTGGTTTGTTTTGATTTTCGATCACGCGTATTGTCACCGTCAGTCAATCGACTGACAGTCCGAGAGTCACCAGGCAGGAGAGGGATCGGCCTCCGGAGTTAGGCCGGCAGTGATGTGCAATGATGTGCAGTGATCTACAGCTCGGGATTTTCTTGACATAAGGGAATCCATATAGAGGAATATAGAACGTTTACTATCTATGTAGATCTTTTAATTGGATCGACAATCTTGTATGATATATACTCATTAGGAAATCAAAAAACGTGGGAAACACGGTTTTCCCATGATAAGTTATGAATACTTAAGCAAACCGAGGAAAAACACCCAACTTATACCAGTCTATTCTCATAAATACTTAAGCAAACCGAGGAAAAACAACCAATTTACAACAAAGCAAACCAACCTCATATTCTCATAAAAATTTATTCCATTAAAGTACGTATACTTTCTGACCGTGAGCTTAGCTCTGTCAAGGTATCGACACTCGGGCAAATTTCGCTGGGCGAAGCCGGTCTTTTGCGTCTGGGTGAGCGAGTATTCTTGGTCGTTAGGGAGGAGCTAATTTTGGCAACTCCTATTTTCGATCATTAATATGTGCTTATTAATTTAGTACACGCCCCGGCAGATATTTTCCCTTTAAAACTTTCGTTAATTTTATAAAATTTTGTTATTCCCTTTTTTTTCTAGTATCGTACATAGAAAACATCTTTTCTAACGACATTTTTTTATTACTAGATGCCCCGAAAGTCAAAAAATAATTCCGTGCATTCTCTCAAAAAGGAATTAAAGAATTCGCGAGAACAAATTAAAGAGCGAAAATTTCTTTCTGAAGAAACCTTGCAGAAAAAGTTTATATATGAAACTACAATATCACGACTTAAAGATGAAAATAAATTATTGAGATTAAGGGAAGAAGCTTCAAGATCAAAGGAAGAAGCTTTAATAATTGAAAATAGGGAGCTACGTAAATGGAAAAGTGACGTTTACTTTACATTGTTAAAATTATAGTTTTTGTTTCTGTTGTCAAGATGCTTTGCAATGTTGTTTTCTTAAAAAAAATTGTTTCATTGTAATGAATATTTTACAATAAAAATCGTGAATTAATAAATTTTTAATGGTCTCATTAACTTTGACTTTTTTTGATCGAAATTAATGGTAGAATTTATTCGTAATAAAGATAAAGCACCATAACTTTAAAAACAAAATTTTTTTAAATTATTGCATAATTGCGAAGAGCATAATTGTATTGTTTGCATTGACGGTTTATCTGAGCGGGAAACTTAATTCTAAGTTTATTTACATAAAATGATTCAATTTGATTGGTTTAACTTAAATTAAAATTTTTTGATTAAAATTGTATTTATCCGCTTTGCAAAAATGGCATAAATCGAGTTATTGCAAAATTACATTCAGATGGGTGTAAACAAAAAGATGGATCGATTGAATTCAATTTATTTAAAAGTTTTCTAGTCCAATTATTGTAATTTATTCAATCAATTGTTGCTATTGGAACTAAAAAAAATTTCTTTGAAAATTTTTTTTTAAATTCCTTTTTTGGATCCGGACTCCTGTCCATCGACATGTGGCCATGTCCAGGAACAACCCTGAAGTACGGTACTAAACCTTTATAGCCATGGGCCAGGGACACGTAAAAATTTGGATCCAAGTTTATCCAAATAAATGAGGTTTTTTCTATATATAACTCACGGGACACGGGTCATTATTAGTCATGTGACATGGCCTAAATTATGTAATGCCGGCCAAAATCCAAAATTTTCCAGATACCCAAATAAAGATTTGAAATTTGATATCCAAAATTTTCCTGGCCCCGCGCGATACTTAATTTAATTTTGCCCGGAATTATACTTAATTTTTTACCTAATTTTGCCCAGAATTATATTTACTTTAGCCTAAATTAATTTTAATTTTGTCTAAATTATGTATTCTAATTTATCATTATTAGATTTACAAAAAGCAAGTTTGAAATATGTTTACAATATACAGAAGTTTGTATTCAACGATCTTTCCATTTTCGAAATCAATAATTTTTAAACTTTTCAAATTATTTTTTTGACTAATTCTGTGATTATTTTTTTAAAGAATAAAAAAAAATAAAATTATTTTTGTTTTTAGAAGCCATTATTTATGCGGTTACAAAAAATTGATATCAATTAATGTATGTTTATTCTATATTTATGAAATATACATCCGACGCGGATTTCTGTGTATAAATTAGATACAATATTTTGATGAAAATTTAATTTTTAATTTATACAGTAATGACTCATATAAAATGACAATATAGCATTGGTATAACAAATTATTTGGTCCAAGTTTTTAATTTATTTAATTTAAAATAATAAGTTCACTTATTTTAATTCTTGAAGAATAACGATTTGAAAATAAAATTTAATAACACCTAATATAGGCGCCTCATTTTGTCATGTGCATCTGGTCCATCCCTACGCTCTGAATATATTTACCACAATCTTTTACCTGGTTTAGAGCTGTGAATTACAAAAGCATGAATTATAAAGAAATATAATTGAAATTTTACTAATGATTTAAATTGGATTGTTTAAAAATAGAATTTTTTTTTTAATTCAATTTCTGAGTTAAATATTCTAAATCAATTAAAATTAATAGTGTTTCAAAAATTTTATTAATTATAATAGAGATCTTTTTTTTATTAAAAATTGATGCATATAAAGCTTAAAGAATTCATTTATTCTTAATAAACATTTCGAATCTAAAATTCTAAACAAAAATGCAACGACTTGAAAATGTTGTAAAAAAAAATTAAACAGCAAATCCATTCACGTAACTGCCGCAGATTTTGTTGTTCCTGTTGATCCTAATTTTTCTCATTTTAAAAGAGCATCTTTCGAGAAATATTACTGTTTTTTAACAATCTGGAATAATAAGACTATTACTGAAAAAGACATAATCGATCTAGAAAGTTCAAGGTCAAACATATACAAAAAAAATTTACTGCAAGATCTATGGGAAAAGATTCATACATTTTTGGTCTGCAACTCTGATTTAGAAACACCTATAGCAACTAAAATTGAGAATATTAGTAATTATAAAAAAATAAATATTAGACTCAATCCTATAAGTGAAAAAAAATCGTTGATAGTCTTATGAATGTATATTTTAAAGACCTTGCATCTTCAAAAAATGTTGAAATTAAAAGACTCGATGACTTTATAAGTTTTATGAAAAAAAACATAAAAACTGACACTGAAAGTGAAATTGAAAAGTGTTGCAACATGTGGTTTAAAGAAACATACAATCTTATGATTAATACCGAATACACTAAAGATTGATTTACATTTTTGTAAAGTTGATATATAAATATTACTGCTTTATTTAAATCTTCACATGTGCAAGAATACATTGGAAGAGTATACTCACATGGAAAACAGAAAGCGAAGTAGCATATAATCCAAATGGTTATCCAATAAATTTATTATTATCTTATTTTTATTTAATTAAATTTTTAAATATTAATTGTACTTAGATAAGACAGACAAGGTGCGAACTTTAAACTATTAGTTACATAAATTTATTATCTTTAAACTTTAAAACAGTTCTTAAACAATATATACGCATTGTAAACAGATATAAGAATTGCTCATTCAAGATTTAAAATTCCATTAAAATCTAGTATTTACTCATCGTATTCTCATGTTTGGGCCAATTGTATGTTAGATTAACAATTGTTTGGATTTCCAAAGTTTCAAAATCTCATTGTTGAGAAATGTCATTGGAATCATCATCTAATTTCAAATAGTTTCAAAATCCTAATTGCGAACTTGCAAGAAGTATAATTTCCTAAATTTAGGTATTTCCAAATCTACAAATATTTAATTCTTAGTTAAATCATATGATTATTGAATTCATTTAAAAATCAATTGGAATTTAATTTGATGATGTGAGTTTAATTGTTTTTTAGCAATTGTTTCTTAAATTATATATTAATTCAAAAGAAAATCAATATTGAAAAAGACTACAAATTCATACTTGTATTGAAGTTAAAGTTGATTTCGTATCAGTATTAAAGCCTCTAATTGAAATAAAACATTAATTTTGATAACACTAAAAAGTAAATTTCCTTTTATATCAGCATCAAACGTTTCGTTTTTTATTTAAGAAAATTACTACTTATCACGTGATCATCACTAGTGATTACAAATTTGATTTAGTATTTCGCGTAATTTGTTTAATATATCATATGATTCATGGGTCTGTATTATTGGCTTTAAGTAATGTTAACATTAAAATTAATCAAAATGAAAAGACTTCAGGATTGTTGATAATATTCAAAACGCATTCTATTCTATTTTCAGTTCATCACAATCTCTATTAGAGATGCGATCAATGAACAATACCGAGTATTACCCAAGCAATTGATTTATGTCACCCAATCCAACGAATGTCGGCCTATGAGTAAACAATACGTTGTACAACAAAACAGAAATTTTGAAAAAATTTAGAATTTCGTTAGACAAAACCTTTGACGAAACCATTTCATCTGTGCCAAATAGCTTCATCAGTCATCATTAGCTCCAACCCGAAGTTTTGTTTTGGACGTGTGAGAAAATAGAACTTTACTTATATAGACCGAATGAGTGGAAATTACTAGATAATTATATAGTTGACAATAATAAATTTACTAGAGAGCCTTATGTTGTCCAATTTCATCATCGGAAAAAACCAAATATAAAAATTACACTTATTGGATGTCATGCAAAGCCAGAAAATGCATACAGTGAAATAAAAGCATTAGTGACTGATGTATATACTTATGTTAAAAAGAAATCGGAAAAAAGAAGTAGTCTGTCTCGCTTATTTAGCTTACTATGTTTAAAGACAAAAGAATCAGTTTTTGGAGACAATTATGAACTTATAATTCTGATGGATGACTTCAATGCTTCGGGTCCTTATCTTAATAAAACAAAGCAATATGAACTTGATAAAATATTGAATCAAAATAAGTTGATATGGGGAGTTAGTCATTCAAGTGATACTACGCAGCATATGATAGATTTATATTCGAGATAAACAAATATAAAAACAAATGGATTGGAGATGTCAGAGTATGGAAATACGACGATTTTTTGAAAAATATGCACGATAAAGCTTTGATCACGAAATTCGCAAAGAGTGTCTCGGACCATTATCCTATTGAGTTCGAATTGAAATTAAAATAAGTATTATTCTTACGATTTATTGAATTTTTTTCATTTAGTAGTCTATTCAGTGATCGTAAAAAAAAATAAGAGACAAAAGAATTTATTTTTATTTAATAAATTTAATCCGATTTTCATAAACTCATACATCTGCTATCGCCATATATCAAGATCTAATGACCATATGCCCTGAAATAATGTGATGCTGACTTTATTATAAAAGAAAAATTTCTTTATATAATGTGAACCTAAAGTTAAATTTTTTCTGGAGGCTAATAACAATATCTGTATTCATAATAATAAAATTACATTACATGTCACTTATCCCAAAACTGATATTTTGCAGTTCTAAATAACTTAAGAAATCTTTCTATTTTTGTGATGATGAAATTTTTTCAACATACGCGTATTATTCTTAATCGTTGTCACAGTCAGAGGGAATTTTAATTTGAGTAATTTCTCGTATTCACTTCTATTTTCTTTATTAGCATAAATATTAAAATACTTTATAATCACGTTAGCAACTCCTCGATTGTACTCTTGCTGAAGTAACGGCGTTACCCTTTCAAAAATGTAATAGCCTTTTTTAAAAAGGAAATTTTGGACTAATTTATTTACCTTGCTATTATGATTTCTAAAATAACTGCTATGTATATTAAGGTTACTTTTTAGAATTCTCAAATCATTTTCGATATCTTTTTGTTCAATTGATTTACAAAATTTTCTTCGCAACTTGTCTGCTAATTCAACGATCATATCAAGACACTCATAATCGATATTACAATTTTTCTCTAGAGCTAAGGACATATTTTAGTGTTCTCAACGTTTACTATAGCTGAATCAAGTGGAATCATTAATAATATTTTCGGTATTGTTCAAATTACTTGATGCTAAAAATAGCAAAAGAATCTAATTAAATTGTTAATTTATGGATTTATGTGTTTATTTTAATTATTTAATTAGATGAATTCATTATATAATAAGAGTATTTACACGGAGATTTATTAAATTTAAAAAATTTAAATACTTCAGAATTCTTTTATATACACGTTTAAAATCAATTTGAGAATCTTGATAATAATTAAGTCTATTAATAAGTTTACTTTAAGTCTCTTCGCTAAATTGTATATTTTATAATGTCAATAATTACAATTAGAGCCTCCTATTTTTAGATCCTTACTTCTCGAAATTTAACAGTTGATTTTGAACGCATAAGTTTATATAAGTCGATCCTGTCAAAACTGATAAACTGTCAAAACTGATAAAAAATTGGTTTGAGCCAGATTTAGAAAAGCTATGTTCTTTTGCTTGCTTCGGGTAGAATCTGGGTTAGTTAAAAATTTCATCGGTCGTCTTCAAAAATTCACTTGAGTACTTCAAAGTCAAAACATAAATATAGAGACTTAATTATTCAATTCTACTGGATGTTTCAGCCTTTTTGAAGTTGCTACGAAAAACAAAGCTCTTGATATCGCACCCAGTATTATTTATAATAATATCCTGATTCATTGGGGATTAGCGGCAACAAAATTTCCTCTTATTCACAACATACGTATCAGAATATTATTAATTAGTTCTCTGTGATCTTGATATAATTATTGGGGATTATAAACCTAATAATTAATCCAGTTATTCTAGCCTAATCAATAATCAAATACTGATACGTAAAAACATTTGAACTCATTCTTACTTAGCATGTATGGGTTGAAATTACGTTATAGTTGTGGTGTAACTATCATGATGTCGCTGAAGATGAGGCTTAGTATGCGTATCAAAACGCGTTTTGTTCTTTGTATTATGCAATAAATAATTGAGTATACCGAATATCAGTTTAGATTTAGAGTGAATTTCTCGAAATCTTTTTCCGAAATGATGATTCAGTTCACATTGAATTTCTGTTAATTAATGAAATTTTGATGCCTAAGTTTTATATGAGCAGCATAAATTCCTTCTTTTAACAATACAAATTATATTCAATAGACAAAATACAGTTGAACCTCTGTTATAGTGTTAGAAAAAAATATTCTTAATTAGGACACAATTGACCACATGATAAAGTCACATTGTGATTTTATTCAATGAATGAGGAAGTTTTAAAAGTGGGCTGGACAATTGGTATAAAGAATGTCTATAAGTCCCACCATGGGCCCAGGCTTATATCATGCATTTAAGGAGTGCTGCATTTAGGGAGGGTGCATTCGGGGAGGTCTGACAGTATATTAAGTTTAATAATAAAAATCTATTTTAATAAATTAAATTCATTTTTGATTACTTTAATTCATTGTTAGCACTTGCCAATGCAAATTTGTGATGATAAATTGAATGAGTTATATGTAACACCAGTATACTAGTTTAATTTTTAATTCTTTGATGTCCGATAACAAAAATTGTACCACTTACACAAAGAATGATTCGTTATTAAAAATATTGACACCTAGAATTGGGTAAACGATGTTTGTGTTTTTTGAATATTTATATCGGAGTTATATCAGAGTAAATAACAGTAAACAATAATTTTGTATTTTTCAATTTTAAATTAATAAGTTAATATCATTAATATCTATATTAATGCCCAGTGTTGTTAAACGGCTTTGTTGATAATTGTCGCATTCTTTTATAATATTGTTTATTGTTCAATATAGTACAAAAATAAAAAAAAATAAAAAATATGAAAAAATCAAAGTTCACAAAAGTCAGCGTCTTACGATGAAATTTCTGTCCATTCTATTAATCGGATTGTTTGTGACTCAATATTTATCTTTTTATCTTTTTTTATATATTTTTCTCCAATTTTGTCTTAGTTTTGTACCTGAATCAATGAATAATCGTAATAATTCTAATTCATCTTAAAAAAGCGTCAACTGTCTACCTTAAAGGCTAAAAAAATTTTTTTTTTTGCCCAAACTTCATTTTCCTTCTATATATAAAAAATTCTCAGAAGAAATGTCTTATCAAACAAATCCTAATACATTGGTTTTTATTAATGAATCTAATAAATCATTTTCAATTAATTCACGAAATCAATTAAACAATAGTTCACTTCAAATACCGGTTATTAAGGTACCTTTTCCACCTATAGTTGATATAGATGATTTAATTACAAGACAAAGAGTGGGAAAGAAACCTCACACAAAACCACCGAATGCCTTTCTGATTTACAGAATGCAATACGTTAAAGAGCTTGCTAAAACACATAGATTACCTATAAGAGCTATTTCTTCCATCATCGCTAGTTCTTGGAGGCAAGAACCTAATCATGTTGTTGATCATTACGAAAATATCGCAGATCAAGCAAAAAAGCGGTTTGACCTAAATTTTCTGAAACCTACTTTCCAAAAAGTGCCTGTTTCACGCCATTCTCGACAAAGGACTATAAAGAAACATATCATACCTACTTTTTATTCTTTTTATTCAAATGATTTCTTTTTACCTCACAATTATCAAATGCTTACTTATAACCCCTAAGCTAAAAAATTTCAAAATGATGACTTTGTATTAATATACAGTGTTATAATCGATTAATTTATTTTATAAGTAAATTCATATCAATAGAATTATATGCTTTATTTTAATTTTATACAATAAGCTAGATTAATTAAAATTTTCTTGAATTAGTTTTTAAATTAGTTAATGCTGCAAGTTAATTCAAAAAATTTATTTAATAAAATATATAACTTATATTGTATATTGACATTTGACAATCAATTCATTTGAAAAAATGAATTAAGATTCAAATTGATGCAATGTTAATTAGAATATGATCATATATAAATAAATTATTATAGTAATGAAAGGAATCCAACGTAGTTATGTCTTTCAAATAACGACTTTGATTGAGGGAGGTTAGCAAATGCTCTTTGCAAAAATAACAGTTTACCGTAATTTACCGTGTAAGATACCCGGGTACGATTTTATTTCATGTGGTAAAAAATTTGATTTGTACCCCCGGGTACTTTGTATGGATCTTTTGTAAAGAGCATATATTAGCCCGTAAGTAAAAAAACTTATTATTAGATAAATCGGCCTTTGATTTGTACCCGGGTCTTTTACAAATCACCACAATAAATAGCCTTGAAATATACCAGGTACAAATCAAGAGGATACCGATCAATGGGGTATCTTCCATGGTAAATTATGGTAATCATTTAATCGTCTTGGCCTGATGGAGGAATGGTGTTAGCAAATACTCTTTGCAAAAACAGTACTTTAAATCTTTTCAGTAATCAACTTGAATTTGAGGGTGGGAAATCATTATTAGATTCTTTTAACAAAAATAGTAGTTAAACGGCTTTGATGGAGATGACAAAATACACTACTTGAATTTGCCAAGTAGATTTTTGCGATCAGGTGCTTCCGAACAAGTACGTTTGGTTATTTTTGGAACCGATTTAAACGTATAAATATTTTGAACGATCAAAAATCTTTAATATTTGTCAATAAAACATGAACCAATATAATTTCAGTTAATAAGCAGCAATCTAAATTTGTCAAATGAAATTTCAAAACTCTCCAAGGTTTACAAGTATAACCATTTCGTATTTTTATATTAATTAGAGACTTAATGAAGGGAAATCATTACTAAATTAAGTAACAATAACGGATTAATGCCGAGTCATGCTTTATAACGGTTATCTGTTAATTATATTTTTTGCTAACAAAGGAATAGACTATCAACCTCGTAGTTTCACAAGAAAATCAAAAATTACTCCTTTATTTTAGATAATCTCCTAGGAGAAAGTAGTTGTCATAAAATATTTTAAGAACATGATTTGATAAAATTTCATGAATAGTTCTATTTTTCAGCCGTCTCTAATGAATTGCATGAAATATGTAAGTATTTTGATAAGCATAAATTTCTTTTTGACATCTTACTTATTTAAATCAACTCCAAAACATAGATTCGAAAACGTAAACTTCGACGAAAATATTATCACAAATTTCAGTTCTATTTGAAATTGTTAAATCTTCTTATCAGAAGATATATGAACTTTTATATTATTATTATTGGAGATTCTACATATGGTTTTATTATTTTAGGATTTTACAATACTGTCACAAAATGTATTGCTATAAATTTATTGATTTTTGAGAAGGAAAATTAACTTAAATTTCAATTATTTAATAAAAAAAATGACTTAGGCATTTAATACTACTTATTTTCTCCATTCTTTTATGAACAAGAATCAAAAAAAATAAAAATAAAAATAAAAATAAAAATTGAATTTTGTCGCTCTCTTTATTATATAGAGAAGATAAATTCAAAACCAGTCTATAGAAAATAGCTTAACATTGTGAATTTGTTAATAACCTCTGAAAATTTTATTTTACTATGGATCGAATCACATCACTATAACTTGTATTAGATATATTAAAAGTAGAAATTATTTAACTTAAAAACGGAAACACTAAAAAGATATAACTTAAGAAGTTCAGAACCCCTGAAACATCACAAAACTGAAATCGGAGCTTATATATAACTAAAACTCCCAAATTTTATTAATAAAAATTATATGGTGCATTTTATATATTTAAATTGATTAAACTCGACAAAAAAATCTCAATGACATTTGAATAATGTTATTTATGCAATGTAAAATTACCACCAAATAAACAATTTTATTGTGTATTAATATAGAAAACGAAAACGAAGTCACGAGGATAGATCATGAAATCACCGCTAATGTCGATAATTTTGAAGATTATCTAAGTTTACATTGAGTAGAAATTCGTGAATGGATTATTAAAATTTAAAGAAGCATCGTTGAAATATAATTCATTAAAAGAAATTAAGCGGTTAATATTTGAAGTGCCGAAATTTAATTCATAAATTGGGTAGTTAATATTATTTTCATTGAAATTTGTAGAAGTGTCGAAATTTAATTTATTATTTTCGTCGAAATACTTAGAAGTGTCGAAATATAATTGATCAAAAGGAATTGTATTATTTTCATTGATAATTGATATATCAGGAGATTCTTTAGGGTGAGTAAATGAAAGAGTCGACAGAGTCTTTGCATTAATCTTCAATGAATTTTTACTAATGGCTTTTATACGTTTTTTGCGTTTTTTTAATGGTTTATATACATAATTGGGATGCTTTATTATATGATCGAGCTTTTACTGTCAGCAAGTTTCTCATAATAAAGTATTGTTTCATGGTTTTCATCTTTCCACATTTTAGAGATAACCTTTGATATTTGTGCATTTGTTAGATTTTTATTTTGTGCCTTGATGCCAATTTGTTTTCTCCTTCTATATAGAATAAAAGCATTTGGAGGTCTTGGAATTTTGTTTGATTGTTCGCTGACTTTGATAGTTTCATTCATTTCGTTAAACGGGTTAAGCATAAACATGTGCCAAAATTCTTTCATATTGTTATTCATTTCATTCAATAAATTAAATTTTTTAAAAATTGAGTTTAATTAGGTCTTATATATTTAATTTTTCCAAAAATCAATGTTTAGATTATTATTGGTTTTCAAAAAAAATTGATTTGCAAGTCATCTTTCTAAAAACAAAGAAATTTATATTTTTTATAAAGACCAATAATTCTGAGTTAGGTTTGTTTTCAAAATTTTTATTGAAGTTATGTAACTAGCGTTAATAAAAATTTCACTACTGTCCAGAGCCTAATTTAAGAACTCTTTACAAATTGAATTATATCGGGTACTATTTACCCATCAAATGGTTAAATTGAAAGAGAACTAGATGCTTAATATGGATTTAATTATGTTTAATCGAATCACGGCTTTTTTTTAAGAATTAATTGAATAACGACAAATGTTCACTGAGTATTTACCGATTTAATTATTAATAAATGAGATCAAATTTGATCGCACAGAATTGTTTATTGAAGAATTTGTCATATAGTAACCAGAAAATTTATTATGAAATCATAGATTTTTTTAACTTACGTAAATTAATTATTAGTAAGTGAATTATGGTTTCACTGGTTTCACAGCATCGGTTTGAATTCTGGAGTAAACAAAATGTTCTGTTAACAAGATAATAAATTAGCATAAAACTATAATATTTTGATGTTTACTCAATAAGACAATGGCTAATAACGGTTATATTGATTTTACGAAAGAAATTCAAGAACTTAAACAACAATTTTGGATGAATTAATTGCCTATAGTAGTTGGAACGTAAGCACCCACCCAGGGCTCAAAATCTATTTTTACTTTTTTGGAAAGATTTAAATGCTTTCTTGCGTTCTTCAAATATAAAAATTGGTGATATTTCCAACCTCACCAGTAAAATATGGAAAAATGAAAATTTTACTTATCAGTTATGGAAAGAAATTATTATTGATGAAATAAAACCATTTTACAAAAAACTTTCAGAAATCGCAAAGATGGTTCATAAGTATTCTTTCCCAGATTACAAATTCAGTCCAAACCGTAAAAATAAACATTTACGAAATGTCAAATTTGAATCTTGCCAACCCTCCTACTACATTTATAATCCAACCCATTACAATTACAATGACTACTCTAATAAACCAAACCCATTTAATATCCATCCCGCTTACGACATTGATAATCCAAAGCCAATTAATTTTCAATCTGTAAATTACAATTATTACTACTATAATAAGCCAAACCCATTTGACATTAATTTAACAACAATTACAGAAAATAATTTTCAAACTGTTATTAAGACTACTAAGATTTCTGTAGATCAGTATGTTAAAATTTAATTTTTCGTATCTGAAAAACTTCGTTCATTTAATGTATTATATCTGAAATAACTTTGTTCAATTTAATATTTCACATTTAATAAAGTTTAAGAAATAACGTTTAAGAAATAACACATTTCTACATTAATTTTTGAAAGTTTGGAACCCAATTAATTTAATTGTCTATTTATTATTTAAAGAAGTACCATTATTATTTTTAATGGATTTCTTCACTCAGATATTGTTTAGAAACCAATTAACTAACGAACTAATGTTAATGTTCAATTTAAATTTTTTACATTTTAACTAAATTATTATACTATTTAATGTGTCATTGCTGTTAGTTTTGTTAGTTTCTATATTCATTTTGTTTTTTGTAGCAACTTCAAAAAGGTTAATTTAGGCTAAAATCATCTAGTAGAATTGAATAATTAACGACAACGGTATTAATTTGGAAAAGCAAGTTTACGACATAAATTAATGATACTAAGAAGCGAAAATAATTAATGAGTTAATAATTATTAATTTAGACATATCTAACGTATATTCTCATGCTTTATTCAATTGTTCTATTTATTTTTTCCTAATTATGTACAATTTAGTATTCCTCTATTCTTTTTGCTCTATTCAATTGTTCTATTTATTTTTATAATTCCATACAATTTGAATTCATTCTGGTTCAAAAAGTATATTCTTTTTGCTCTACTGAGCTACGTATCAATGTCTTAGGACATTTTAGTGTAAAGAATTTTTAAAATATGTAAAAGTAAAGTTAGTTATAAGTAATAAAAACGGATGAAAATTTTAGATAGTTTAATTGATGTTTTTACAATAAGCGTCTAATTATAATACAGTAGGTATAGATTTTAGATCTCATATTACTTTGGTATAATAAATGAAAATATGTTTGATCCTTTTCGTTTTTGATGGAGTTACTATAATTTTATTGGCTAATTGTCACATGCTTGACGCAGATGACCAATCAAAAGCAATATTCACAAATTTTAATAAAAGATTTATTTAATATTGTGTTTTTCATTTTTTTTTATTAGCATTGCATTGATAAATGGACAGTCACCATTTTTTAATTGCATTTTGTCACATTGAACAATAAACTTATATAAAAGGATGCGACAATTACCAATGAAAAAGCCGTTTAACACTGCATTAATATAGAAATTAACTCATTTAATTTAAAATTGAAAAATACAAAATTATTGTTTACTATTATATACTCTGATATAAATATTCAAAAAAAAACACAAACATCATTTACCCAAATCTAGGTGTCAATATCTTTTAATAACAAATCATGTAAATCATGTGTAAGTGTTACAATTTTTGTTTAGCGGACATTAAATTACATTTGTTGTTACACCGCATCCACTTAGTAATACAAGCTCATGGAGTGGAAATAGCCAATCGGAGAGTAAAAATTTTGACTATTCCGAGATCAGCCCGACGAAGAATTCAAACACGCGTAAAAGAAGAAAAAAGCGAAATACGCAAAAACTAATATTTAAATTGATCTTGGCCCTAACCCTAAATTTTTATCTCACGCACTTAGTTTATTTACTAAATCGGATTTCCTTTTTTGGTTTGTGCTTGTATGAAAGCAATAAGTTATGCATAAGATTATATAAATGCATGTGAAAGAGATTATGTGAAAGAGATTTTAGTTCTGTTCATCAATATTTTCTTCTAAAACAATTCTGCGTATTTCTGTACATGTTTTTGTTATATCTGAAACAACAAGAAATCAATCGTATTGGTAAATTTAATTTAAAATTCTCTTTTTTATAAAATTGATTACGTATTGTCGAACGTACGATATTCAATACACTTCTCATTATGACATGACCTTTGGCCGAGCATAAAAACAGTATCCATGTAAATAATAATTGAGATTATATTGATCTAATTTGTTTCTAAAATTTGGAACAATAAGAAGCTTATAATTATTTTAGTGTATATTTTCTTATTGACCTCAATTTTAGCTTCCTAACCAAATTTGTCTGTAAAAATAAAATTTTATGCTTATTTTAAATTGTAATGCAGCATCTGCTGTGAAGAAATCAGGAATCAGCCACCATTTGACCAATAATACATGAAAGTCATTTGGCCATCTTCTAATATGAATGCACAAAATTTTTATTTATCACTTAAAGGTGAATGAAATTTTGTGTATTGTATTACAGAATAACTTACACAAAAATCGTTATGGATAAAAATAATAATAATAATAATAATAATAATATCGATTTTATTAGATCCTTTTGTAATATCTGTTATTTGTTTTAGACAAATTATATAATCCTTTGTGATTTTTTTCTTTGTATACATTAGAAATTTTTCTTTCATTCTTTAAATCATCAAATTAAACATTTATTTGGCCGTAAGTTTCTATTTAACTTTTTGACAAATTAGTAGATGTAACCCAAATAAGGTTGCATTTGCAAATCTAAATTCAAATATAATATTATAGACAAGTTTTTGCTAAAAAAAACACCAAAAAAATTTTTTAAAATTCCTATATGCATTTTCATCGTTTAGATGGTTACTAAATGGAAAAAAAATTATTTCCAATATGTGCTACCTAATGAAGTTATGATCCGTGTTTTAATATTTGTTAAAAATCCTATGAATTTTATTGTAAGCTGTAAAAGATGTTCTCTTATATGTAAAGATTCTCAAGCTAGGGCTGAATGGGTTTTCTTTCAATTTGGAAGAGCCCATGGACTTTTTCATGCTATTCGATTGGGTCCAACATTTATCAATGCCAAAGTCGCTCGATCTATCATTACCAAAGGTGGAATTCTTTCAAGATATTTTGCACAACGACTTCTCATTCATTATGGCAATTATGATCAAAAACTTATCAACTTAAAGATTGCTCATAGTGTAGGACAAACAGATATTAATAGGATTAGAACATTGCAGCAAAAAATTGTCCCTTGGACTAGTAATTTACAAATATCCGTTTATATGTTTTTATTAACTAAAGCTTCGAAACTATTTAATGCAGATTTGTATCTAAAAGGAAATGATATGGAGCTTTTTCACTTTCTTTCTGGAGGTCCGCATACTATTAGTTATGCACCAACTGTTTTAGAAAAAAATTATGAGGAGATCAAAGATTTAATTTTATGCAAGAAATTTGTACCATTTCCGCCAAGAAAATCCGAGCCAATTAATTCTCCAGAAGAGTATCCACCTAAAGATAGATATGAAAATAACCGTCAGCTTAACATTATTGCAAGATCAATCTTGATCCGTAAAGATTTAGTACACCTATGGAAAGAAGTTGGTTATTTTGAAATATGTGAGGATGTTAATGATCTTGTATTGCAAGAAGCGCTTTTAATTCTTTTTCCACCAGCACAACCTCCTGGCTGGACTAAACCTGATTCCAAAGCAGTTAAGGAGCGACTTACTGAATTAATTGGAATGAGATTTCAATTAAATGATAGCATTATTATTGACATTTTTCACCTTTTTGAAAGTCGATTGGATGACATTGGAAAGATCTTAATTGATACTTTTGCAGAAATTTATCAAGAATCACAAGATAATTTCTTATGAAGATACTTAGCTGAAACAATGAATCCTACTAAATTAAAGAACACAAATATAACGAATATAATGAATCTCTTCTACAAATATTTGCCTAATATAGCTGAAAATGAATTCAATGATGCATTTAACCTTTATTCAAAAAATAATGATAATAATAAGATTCTAAAATCTATGTAGAATTGTACTAAGTTTTATGTGTTACGATCTTGATTTTTTTGTATTAAGATACTATAAGTTTTGTGAATTTAATATTAAGTTTTTTGTATTAAGATACTATAATTACAATACTAAGTTTTAGTTTTTTCATTAAAATATTTGTATTGAGATACTATAAGCCTTGTGTATTAAGATTGATGAATAGAGCAAAACCATAGAAACCAGAATGAATACAAAATTGAACAGAATTAGAAAATTAAATAGAACAATAGAATTGAGCAAATGAATATATTTTACTTTTTGAATAGAAACCAGAATGAATGCTAAATTGTACATAAGCACATAATTAGAAAAAAATAAATTTAACAATTGAATAAAGCACAAAATTAGAAAAGAATTAGAGATATGTCTAAAATAATAGCGTTTGTTATTAACTTAGATATCTCAATTATTCTTCGCTTTTAGTTTCCTAATTTATGTTCTTTTCCAAATTAATACCATTGATATTGTATTCTTTATTCTTCAGTTCCTAAGTAGGAATCAAATTTTAGCTCATATCTCTTTAGCTGAAATTTTAAAACACATTTAATATTTTTAACTTGACAAAGATCAATTATTTCTCTCTCACTGTCTTTTTGTTTTTCTAAATCGTAATTCTTTGATTTCATGCCTTAGATATCTAGCTTTTTCAACAAATTTTCTTAAATTTAAAAAATCAAGCTCAATATTAAAAGGTAATATAAGAACTTCTAATTTCACCCTTTCAATGTTAAAATCTTTTAAAAAACAATTTAAGTTTTCATAATTATAATTACTAATGTTAAATAAATTAAGAACTTTTAAAGAGCTAGGTAAAAATTTGTCTAAGGTTAGTAAATAATTATATCATAAGCTAATTGCCCAATTTGTAATTGACGAAGTTTTTGAAATTTTTTAAGTGTTGGAGAAAATATAAAATTATCAGTTACATAACATAAAGTGGTTATGTTTGGATAATTTAAATTAAGCTGAATAATAAGTTCCTCTTTTACTTTACTGCTTAATTCCATCTCAAAAATTATAAAAAATTTTAGTGCTTTGCATATTGCCTTTAACATAATTTTATTTAATTCTATGTCATTATTCATTAATTCTAGTTTTTGAAGATTTTTTAAGATATTTTGACCTTCTCCTAAAGGATTTCCAAAAGAATTTCTTATTAATAAAACCTCTAAGTTTGGTACAAGATTTGCAAGATTATCTTTATTGAACTTGATTTCTTGTAAAACTAGTTTTCGAAGGCTTTGAGATGTTAATTGCAGCATCTCACTTCGCAATAAATATATAAAACTTGCAGTAATAAAATAATTCAGTTCAAGTTCTTTGAGATCAGTTTGATTATTGATCAAATTTAAAATGGCTCTCGGCAATTTGATGGTATATCATTATTATAAGCAATGATACGAATGGTCTGAATTCCTTTGTTCTGTATAGAAATTAAGTTAATATAATTATCTACATTCGTATTTTGACCATTTAAAGCAACAAATTTAAATTCGCATTCTTTCAATTTTGATGAAGAGAACAATGAGTTAGTTATTGAAGGAAATGTTGAATTGTTGATCAATGACATGCTGAATATTTTAATTCACTTAGATTTTCGGAACAGCATACTTTGAATAGCTTTGAAGATCGAACTTTCTAAATTAGACCTAGATATATCTTGAGTATTTTGATACCACAATGATATGGTTTGTTTTATCTTGTAGCTAGAATAAGTCTCTAAAAAGTTTGCATATTCAAATAATGTTTTTTGGAAAATACATGATAGATCGACTTGATATGTGCTCGAAGTCAAAAGATGCTTTTCATTTTCATTAAGATAAGAAAGGTAAATGAATATAATATTTATTGAATGTTTAGATATATTATATAAAGGGTCAGCCCATAATAGAGGCAATGTAATAAGGCAAAACACACGGTTAACTAAAAGACAGTTATATAAAGTTGAGTAGTCATATTCAAAATTTTTGATAATTTCTAAATAACAATCATTTGTTAATTTCATAACATTGCATATTATATATATCAGCAAAATACTGATTTATATATAAAAAATTAATGAAATTAATGATAGCCTATCACTCAATAATTTAATTGTAAATTTCATTTCAATTATTTTAATTATTTCAATTATTTCAATTATTTCAATTATTTCAATTACTTCAATTATTTCAATTATTTTAATTATTTCAATTATTTCAAGATTGAATAGAGTAAATTCTATTAACGACAATTAACTTAATTATAAAAATTGAATTAAAAAAACATTAATTGTAAGATTTTGCACTCATAGGACTCAACTTATTATTGTTATTAGATTATTATTGATAAAATTTATTTGCTCATAAAACAACAAAGAGATTTAAAGTTTCATTTGATACTTTGAGACATTGTCTAAGACAGGAAAAAATCTCTATGATATTTTTTACTGGCTGATTGATTACTCAAAATGATACCTACTTTACTGGAAAATCAAGTAAAGGAATGGTCCAGAAATTGAGGTTACTCATGAAAACAGTGCCGATTAATTGATAAATACCTAAAAGTTTTCTGTGGTTCTATAACATAAAAACTAATTGCTAAACTAATTAAAAAAATTGAGATTTTTTGTATGAAAATACTCCTATTGTACTTAAGATTAGTTTGATCAAAAGTTTGACTTTTGCCAGCGCTATAATAACTTAAGTACAGAATTATTATCATGTAAATACTTCATTTCCTAGTGATGGACTACGAAGTGTTATTATAAAAATCAGAATAATAATATTTGCTAAACAATTTGTTCTTTTTTTTTTTTAGATATTTTTACATTTGCTTAATGTAGTTTCAATAAACATTAATTTTTAATAGCTTTCAACTTTGGCATCTTTTTATTTTTTCCGAGTAATGTGTAACAAAATTTTATCATATGCTCAAAAGTTTTACTTTTCAATTATCTTATTATACCATAAAACTTGTTGAATTATAATGAAAAAATACAATTAAATTTGACTACACCAATAGATTATATTTAATGTTCAATGAGCCATTTTCATAAAATTTAGCTTATTGAATTCTAATAAATTTATTTTTTTGAAATAATTAATAAATAATAGATCTTTAAAATTATTACTAATCACTTTTATGTTTTGCATTGTCATGTTGCATAATATCTTGGACTTTCAAAAAAACACGGTTGTATATCTTGCAATAAAATGCTAATTTTGTTGGAAACAAAGTTTTCATTTTGCATATTTTGCATTTCATTAATTCATATTTGCATCTTGTGCAATCATCATCATCTTGATTCTCTTCACTAGGAATTATGTGTACATTTTGCTCAACAAAGTTATCAAGTAATTTTAAAAATTTTAAAAAACTTTCGATATTCAGATATTTTTCTTGTATCATTGATAGTATTTAACCATAAAATTGACATTATTTAAATAAGTTTAGACAATACTGCAATCTACAATAAACTAAATTGCTTTATATCAATTGAAAATAATTAAAGTAACAATTATTATCTCTTAGGAATCAATTCTATAATTTTAATGAAATTCTGATTCTAGATCGAATTGAACAACTTTGGCATAAAACTACTTTATTTATAAACATAATAAATTTTGATTGGATCAAGAATTTTTTAATTAAAAAATATATTTTATTTGTAAAAAACATTTTGAATCGTTAAAAAATTTTCTTCTATCAATATTAATTTTCATACTTTTTAACTATTCGCATATGTCTACTGATAAATAATACTACTTTATCTAGTTTTAAATGATCACGACTTTAATATTTACTATAAAAGTAAAAGACTCAAAATGTATAGAGACAATATATTTAAAATATTCCTTAGTAAAAATTATTATACGATATTTCTAATTTTTTAAACAGTTTTTTCGCTCGTTTTATAAATATAGGTACTAGATTTTTTTTCTATCCCATAGAATCATTTTCTGAATTCCATCTCATAAGCTTTAATTTAACGTTTTGAGTATACATGATTTTTATATATAATTAGAGAATTCAAAGGCGATTATTTTGATTTAAATAAGAAATTATTTTGCATTTATTTTAATATTAATAATTTAAAGTTTTTACGTATTTTGTTTTAATTATTGAAATTGTAAACATTATATATGAAAATAAATTTTGATTTGAAATATGCGTTCATTTAATGGAAATAGATATAAATTTAACTCCTAAAGATAAAAAATAAAAGAATCTAATTACATGTTCTGAAAAGACAAGAAAAGTTGATGATAATGTTTTTTTATTGCGTAATAATTTTTAATTAAGAAAAATTAGCAGTACTAGAGAAATTTAAGAAATTTATTTATCTTATAAGATTAGTATTTGAGATACGCTTCGTTCGAAAATTTTAATAGTATTTACATTTGTGAGTATTTGTGAAATTTTAATTTGGAATGCTTTAAATTGTTATTTGAAAGACCATTCAAATTAATTTTCGACTTATAATTGAGTAAAGTGTGTTTAAATTAATGATAAAGGCAATTTAATTTTCACAATGCTAAAAATTTTATTTATTTAGACTCTATATATTTTTGCTCACCTCACTCATAATGTCTAATAGTATTAATCTAGAAGAAACTGTAAATGTTCCATTACTCTATCTAATGCAATTACAATATCTTGCAATACAATCTATTGAAAAAATACACAATAGTAATCAGGATTTATCTAATGTGCTAACAAAAACTTTTAAGAAGTCTTCAGAGTTCCCTACAATTTCGATACATACTAAAGCAAAAAAACACCCATCCCCCTAATGCTTTTATTCTTTACTGTCAAGCCAAACAATCTGAAATAGTTGCTGCAAATAAGAACATTTCAAATAATGAAGTTTCAAAGGAAATAGGTAACATGTGGAATAAAGAGTCTTTGGATGTAAAAATGAAATTCCAAGTTATGGCTGATATTGCAAAATTAAATCATATGCAAAAATATCCTGAATACAAATATCAGCCTCATCGTAAGAAGAGGAGATCTAAAAGAAATTGTGAATTTTCAATAAATGAAACAAAGTCAAAAACTAACCATGAGAATTATCTTTTGTCTGAACAACTACCTCCTTTGAATGGGGAAATAAATTCAGAAAATAATGTTTTTGTCGATCAGAACTTGGATAAGCATAGTCTCCAGTTAATAAGCAATAATCTTAATTTGTCAAATGAAATTTCAGAAAACTCTCAGGAGGTTGCAAATATGTTTAATTACCATTTCATATTTGTTATAAATTATGATAACGAGAACTTAATGATACAAACTTACCACTGATTCTTATTAGCGAATTTAAACAATATTAATCCGGACTATTTTAATCATAATCCTCAATTCACTTATATTTTCCCTTACTCTTATTCATACTTGTAGAATGTTAGTAACTGTAAATATGGATAATTTATACTTTAGTTCATTTTTCAAATTCCAAATAAAAAAAAATTGATAAATCACCAAATGTAAAAAGTAGACGAGTACTTTCTCGCCATTTAAACTAGGTATTTCGCAGAAAGTATGGTATAGGTGAGCAGATCCGTATAGTATAGGCCGAATTTTTAAATTTATAACTGATCCGGTCGTAATATATATTAGGGTTAGGGTTAGGAATTATAGCTAATCGGTATAGTATAGATCTTAAATTTTGCCTATACTATACAGATTTGCTCACCTATACCATACTGCTATAATCTTATTTAAACTAGACATTGATTTATGCCTAGATACAAAAACATTAAACAAACTGTATATTGTTTATTTTCTTTAAAATTAACCCTAAACCCCCAAAAAAATTATTTTTCGAGATTATATACTATAATTTCATTTTAATCAGGATCTGTCACATTTATTTTGTTTAAAAACTTAGTTACTATTCGATAATACAAAAAAATTACATTTCACCCATTCACACTCGCATATCCATATTTAATATTCGATACATAAACTTATTAAAATTACTAACAACAGCAAAATTATCATAAAGATGAGAATATTCGTTATCATAATACGCTTTCATTCTTTGGTTCTGTACTCATACCATCTACAATTTTAATATAACATTTAGATGTATTGTGTGTGTAATTGAACATATCTAAATTAAAACTTACATTAAAACCAAATGATTTTGCCGAACTAGCACCATGAAACGAGTCTTCGAATACCAAACAATCTTTAGGTTTCATAGTAATTTTTTCATTAATAAGCCCATATTTTCCCTTATCATTTACACCGTGATCATCACCACAAACAAAATTTTGCAGATTAAAGTTATTCTTGATTAAATCACACATTTCTTTATTACTGTTGTTCAAAGTTTTTTGCATAAATTCATCGCAGGATGAATTGGATGCTATATACAAATCCCAATCTGCTTTCTTGTATAATTCTACTATTTTCTTTACACCAGGTATAAGTTCTACGTACGAAAAATCAGGTTTATGTTTTAGTCTAACCTCGGAAAAAAGTTTATGGTAAACTTTTTTATCTTAAAAGATCGATTAATACTTGATTAGATTGTTCTAAGTTACATCCTATTTGTGAGCAATGGTTCTTCTCGTCATAATCATAATATCCAAACTCACGGCATATTTTATTAATAGCTGACATGTAAATTGGTTTGGTATCTCCTATAATACCATCGTAATCAAATATTGCAGCGTATTTCGGCCAAATATTCATGGAGTAATCATACCACAAATTATTAATTTAATCAAAGTTGGTGAGTGAAACCCCAAAAAATCGGCCTACTTCTAGATAGATTAGATAAGGCCAGGAAAAGTCAATAAATATATAATTAAATCGAATCCATTTCACATACCCACAGAAGAGGCTCTTTATTATTGTTTTCGTTATCTGGTTTGTAAGATTAATTTTACCTAACATAGATTTAAAATAAACTTCTAATTTCTAAGTTTTAAAAATTGTATTGTAATTTTTAATTTATTGTTTTTTAATTTTTACAATATTTCAAAAAAAAAAAAAAAAAAAAAAAAAAATCAAATTAAAACAATCAATTTTTAAAATTGTATTGTAATTTTTTAATTTATTGTTTTTTTAGATTGCCAGTTTTTCATTCTGTAGATAGTGAATTGAAGTAATTACTCTTTTTGAACGAATAATTTTTACAATTAACTTTATAAAATTAATTTTATTTTATTTGTTAATTTTATTTATTTATTTTTTGTTACTTTGTTCATTTTTTGTTCGCTTCATTTTACCCCCCCAATCCCGAGAGTCCTGGATAAGTGATGTTAATCAAAGAATCAACTTCAAACAGCCTAATTTTGCCCATAATTATATTTAATTTATCGTAAGTTAAATTAATTTTAATTTTGCACTTTAATTTTGCTCATCTAAATTTGTAGTAACGCCATCTCTATGTTACAATTAATTCTACCAAAATTATTTTTACGAGAATAAGAAATTTTGAGATGAATAGTTCAAATTTATTAATTGTTGAATTGATATTAGTGTGAATTAATTAACAAACATAATTAACAAATCTTCTTTGAAATGTGAACTATATATATTTGGCTTAACGCAAATTATTATAATAGACAATACTAAAAAACTTTTTAACACAGTTATTATTGATATGATTTCACTTTATGAATACATTACAGAATAATATATAATCTGATATTTTTTAATCTATAATGACAAAAAACAAAATCATTATGTCTGATAAAAACAGTTTGTCAAAAATCCTATCTGTTAAATTTAATGATATAACAAACTGTGCAGGTGCATCTTTAAGTGAAATTATATCCTATTTTAAAACTTTTGATCAAGCCAATATTTCTGAAGCATTTGATGCTACTAGTCACAAAAATAAAGTTATTACTGCTAATAAATGGTCTGCTTTTACTAAAAAGGTTTATAATTTACAAGTAGAATCAAAATCAGGATTTAAAAATTTGATTAAATATTTGGATGATGAAAAAAAAAGCAACAAACTTATTGGTAAACCAACAGGTGAAAGCATAAATTTCTTATACTTAAAAAAGGCAATTAAATATTACAATGAAAAAAAATACAAACCAGCTTACAACCTATTTAGACATCTTACTTGTGAAGAATCAGAAAAAGATACTGGAAAGGAGGCAACTCAAATTTATGGTATTTCCATATATTATATTGCACTTTGCAACTTAAATGGGAATGGCACTGATAAAGATGAGAATTATGCTTTATCTGTTGCCAAATTTCTTGAACAATATAAGAAAAATAGTGAAGCATTAAAGGTTTACAATTTATTATGTTCTGAAGCTAAGGATGTAAATATTAAAAAAGAAGCTTTACTTGAAATTAACAAATTACAAATTAAAAAATAACTTTTTAATCTACTTAGTAAAACTAAAAATAGGCAGGTTTATAATTTTCTTTAGGTGTCTTTTTGTATTCTTTATACAACGAATTATTTTTAAATATTAAATTATTGTAGTAATATCTAAGCATTCGGTACAACCTTTGTATTATTATAAAAAAAGGTATTTAGCAATCAGAGAAAAAACGTAAAAAAAAAACTGTATTATTCAACCTTAATGATTTTCTTTCGGAATTTTCATTTTGACTTCCATTCTTGTTTAATTAAAATAATTCAACTCAATAATATAATATAAATATAATTTGGTTAAGAATTTGCAATTGTAAAAATTTAATTTTTTTAATTAAAAATATTTATCATAGTGATTACTTCTGTCCTATTCCTAAAGCAAATTTTGATACTCTAACATAAGACCATCTACCTGAACAAATAAAAGATTTTCTAAAAAACAAAATTGAGAAATTGAATAATCACTTGATCTAGCAGCAGCTTGTAAACCTTCTCTTATTGTCTATATATATTTATTGCGAATGGTAGTATTTGTGAAAAATAATTCTGTATTGGATTCCAAAAGATGAAAGCTATGCAAATTAGCACCAAATTATTTTGCAAATACTTATTGTTTGATTGAGAACCAACGTAATTTTGATAACAAAAAAGTATAAGATTTTGTATCTACTTATGCAAAATATTCATCCCTTAGAACAATGCTATGTTATTGATAATTTACTACCAACAGGCAAAGATCATACTACATATATTAATGTTAAACAAAATTAATATTAATAGTGACGAACTCATATCTAAGTATCAGAATTTTACTTCATAAAATCATCCACCATAATACAAAATTGCTCTAAATCTTAATTCTATGTTGAAACAAGTATTCATAATGAGGTTTGCTTTTAGCAATTAAGTCATGAACACGTCAAGGATATTCAATTTCTTCACCATCATTAGTAATTGCTTTGTCAAATCCTGTGCTCTGCATAACCTTCCTGTTTTTATTTATAATATATACATAAGTTAATGTTAAACATAAAACCAACTTGGAGCGGCCTAAAACATACTTATGCACAAATAATCTATATCTGGTCCTGACAATTTTAAGTCTCATATTTTCAACCTTTCTTTTTTCCACTCAAGCATTTCTTTCTTAAACTCTATGTTGACCAACTCACAATATTTTCTTAAAATTTTTTCTGGTTCTCGAACTAAATCATCAGCATCTACTCTAATACTATCTTCTCTTCAGTTATGTTCTTAATTAATTCATAAAGAATTCTTGAATCTTTGAGCCAAACTTTTTTATGAAAAAAAATGTCAAATTTAGGCAGAATTAATTGGAATAAAAATTTCTGTGATAACACTATAATATTAATTTTGTTTAATTAAAAATTTACATTAAATAAATTAAATAAAATATTATAATTCTTATTGTTTCTTAAAAATTATACTGTAATTTTGTAATAAAACATCGTGATAGCTATTGCTAAATTTGGCTAATGGAAATATTTTAAACATCAGAATATTAAAACATTGATAAAATTAGTATATTTTAGTATAATCTTTGTCAGCTAGCAGGTAAATTATCGATTGCATATCATTTTGTAAATAATTTCAAATAAAGTCAGATTTAGGAAGGTTAAAAATCTATAAGTATAATATTAGTTGGGTCCAAGAGAAGACATGCATTTATGGAGGATTTTCATAGGACGTGCACTTAGTCAATAATGCCAGGTGTTCCAGACTACATCTAGAATATTTAATATCCATTATCAAGTCCTAATTGAATTATCTTGAAAATTCTGTTGGCTAATATTGAAGGTTCTTCCAAACTAAAACCAGAATGTACAAGTGATATTTCAAAAAGAAGCCATATAAGGTCTTTAGCAATCTTGTCATTCTTATCGGCCTCAACTTTAGTTTTAAGTAACTTAATGATTGAATGATATGGATTAATTTCCAAAATCTTTTTAGATAACATATATGATTTCATACTAGAATCACGTAATGCCTGAGCTTTCATGATACGTTCAAAGTTGGCAGACCAACCGTATTGTCCAGTTACAAGAACACATGGCAACACTGAAATACGATTTGATACAAGAACCTAAAAAATAAAATAGATTTTAATATAGTTAAATAAAAAAAAACTTGTTTATCATGTTAAATAAAAAAAAATTTTTACCTTTACAACGTTATCACCAAGAATTTCTTTAATTTGCTTGCACAAATAATCATAATTTTTAATTTCTTCTTCACGCAATTTCTTCTCTTCATCATCTTCATCAATCTCAAGCCCTTCTTTTGTGATGCATACAAGTTTCTTACCTTCGTATTCATTAAGTTGTGAAACAGAGTATTCATCGATAGGGTCTGTCATAAATAAGACCTCATACTCTCGTTTTTTTAATACCTTAAAAAATGGCGAATTCTCAACAGCTTGGCGATTTTCTCCTGTAATGTAGTAAATATCTTTTTGTTTTTCTGGCATACGTGTAATATAATCTTTTAGAGAGGTAAGTTCATCAGTGGATTTTGTGGAATAATAATGAAGAAATTCGGCTAACTTGTACCGATTCTGAGAATCTTCATGAATTCCAAGCTTAATATTTTTGGCAAAAGCCTCATAGAATTTTGTGAAATTTTCTTTGTCCTTAGCAATCTCAGAAAACAGCTCCAAACATTTTTTCACTATAGTTTTACAAATAACTTTAAGAATCTTGTTATGTTGAAGTTTTTCTTGAGAAATGTTAAATGGTAGATCTTCTAAATCAACTATTCCTCTTATGAAGTCAAGATATTTAGGAATTAAATCTTTACAATCTTCCATAATAAAGACGCTGCATATGTAAATTTTAATGTTATTGCGTTTTTTCTTGGTTTCAAAGAGATCGAATAGAGCATGACATGGTACGAATAGAATCGCTCTGAATTCTAGTTGACCTTTGACGGAGAAATGCTTAACGACCAAATATTCCTCCCAATTATTAGTTAGAGACTTGTAGAATGCAGCATATTCTTCATGTTTAATATCATCAGAATTTCTTTTCCAGATAGGTTTAATTTTATTTAACACTTCGGTTTCTAACGTCTTTATCCTCTCTTTAACATTATTTTCAATTTCCTTTTCAACAATAAGTTGGATTGGGTGGCCAATGAACTCGGAGTGTTTCTTTACAACCTCTTTAATCTTATGTTCTTCAAGGTATTCCAATTAATCTTCTTTGAGGAACAATTTAATAAGTGTGCCTTGGCCAATTGGTTCATTATCTATATCACTGGCGATGGTGAATGATTTACTGGCTGACGATTCCCAAATATACTGTTCATCGTCATTGTGCTTTGTGATCACTTGAACACGGTCTGCAACCAAGTAGGCAGAATAGAAACTAACACCAAATTGACCAATCATAGAAATGTCGGCTCCATATTGCAAAGCTTCAATGGATCCTTAGTACCTGAACGGGCAATAGTACCAAGATTATTCACAAGTTCGGCCTATGTAAGTATTTCATTGTTAGCAAAATCAAGTAACATTTTTCGATAATATCTTTGATCATTTTGAGTGATACCTTGGTCATGCCAATTCCAGTATCCCGTAACATAAGAACGTTATTTTTTTTATCAGAAATAATTTGGATATAAAGGTCGTACCCGTTATCAAGTTTTGAAGAATTAGTAAGTGATTCATATCGAATCTTATCCAAAGCATCTGAAGCGTTAGAAATTAATTCACAAAGGAAAATCCTGCATTATGAGATTAAAAAATAGAAATACCAACAAACTGTTTGCTCTTTAAGTCAGAAAATTATACACTTGATTTTAAAATAATATTACTTACTCTTTATTTGAGTAGAAAGTTTTAATAATAATTGATATAAGCTGTGATATCTCAGCTTGAAAGGCAAATTGTTCGGCTTTAGCCATTTCTGCGTAAATATTATGAATGTTTAAATATTCAAAATTTACGTCAACTCTCAGTATATGGTCAAGATTTAAGAAACCAAAGGTTTTAACCTCGATTAAAATTTATATATATGTTATATTTTAATTGACATGTATTGTTTCAATTAGACAAATGTTCAAATGAAATTAAATTTTTATTGAAGTATGAATTATTTTATTGAAATGTGCCAAGTGCCAAAATGAAAAACAAGAATACCCAATAATATTGTTGTAATAATATGAGAAATAATAATAATGTTCTCCGCCTATTTTTATCGCAAGAATCCTGATCTTAAAATAACAAAAAATCTCTATATAAATCATTGTTGTTAAATGACCTTAAAAAGTCTGTAAAATTACTCAACATACATAACAATCTCCAAGATTACAGATATTATAATTTAAAAAAGTAGTCAAATTATAAATCTCTTGGTGAATATGAAAAATTATTTTAAAAAAATAGTTTGAAGAATGTGGAAAGCAAATTTTTCGTCTCTTGGCGAATATGAAAAAATTATTTTAAAAGAATGTTCAGAAGAATATGGAAAAAACAGCTAACTGAAAAATCAACAGAATTATACAAAAACTAAATTTATTATCATAGTAATATGACCTGGTCATTTGTTAACACTGATATTAACAATATTCTAAAATTATTCTATTAACATTAAACAATTTTTCTGTACTATACAGGTTAACGTGCGAGAAAATAAAAAATTATTCGAAATTTTGCACGAATTATCGGAACCTCCAGTTATTGAAGCAGTTGACAAAATTTCGCAGAATATGTTAAAAACAGCACATCACAAAATTTCTCTTTACCATATGCTTGTTAATTTAACCAATGAATTAACGAAGTCATTAAAAAAAACAAATAATATATCTGAATTTGACCACTCAGTAAAATCAAGCTGTTTTTTAATTAGCCTGAAATCATGTGTTCAGCAAATCGAGTCGAAAATATTCTGGAGAAACAACTTGTAAACGATGGGATGCTATGTGAAATCTTTATTTCGGACATTCTGCATTGGAAGTTTTGGATATTCACCTGTCCAGCACCTCTTCAGCCAATCACATCACGTACATTAAATTCATTATCTAATTTAACATTCAAAAAGTTTGAAAAAGGAATTTTTATGATATTCACATCTTTACAGACTCCCAATCTGTAATCTCTAAGTACAATAGCCTAACCCAGCAAACAATCAATGTCAA